TAGCAGCTAGCTAGTTGCCCCCAGCCCCCCACCGTAAAATGTTAATGTCGGTATATATAGTTGTGGGTTGACGAGGAATACGTACGTACTGTAGCTAGTCTAAAGGAACAATATATTGACCAGTCTAGGGCAATAGAAACCAAGAAAATCTTTTGCTAGGAGACACCACTACTTGATGCTTATTCTGAATTGTGATGGGATGCTGATTTGCGTTCCAAAGACCTATTGTAACTTCTACTTAAGCGATCATATTGAATTACATCGATCTCACTGTAATTGTTATAGACTTGGATACACTAATTAATTGATGGCCTTCAAAACAATAAAAAGAACAATAAGTTTAGATAAAATTGACATAACTTGTACTATCTCCGTCCTAAAAAAAATAGTCCACATTGAGTTTTCAAATTTGTATTAAAAATAGTATAAAATTCAAAACTCAGTATGGACTATTTTTGTGGGACGGAAGGAGTAATACACTATTAGATTGATAGCACGAATACTACTTCAATTTGTAATATATACTAAATAGGCTGGCTGACTTCTCAAATTCAGTTATCAAAATTTGTTTTAGGACTCAAGGAGCGCCATGTTCTGCATCATGCCATCATCCATAACTGAAGTGTGTCCCGCCTTGGATGTGTAAAGAAAAGTCTCTTTAACCAAAGTCCAAAGGGTTGTTTCTTTGATATGGATTTTATAAATTTTCAGCCATTCGAAATGGAACTTTTTCTTGACACATCAATCTTTATACTCAAGGGAATGGAAGGATAAACTAATTAAATGAGATTAGTTCAGTAACAATTTGAAACGCAAGTATAATCGTGTCATTATCCATCAAATCACAAGTTGAATTCAGCCATGAAACAACGTCAAATTTCTTAGATTTGATGCTACTTTTGGTCAGATCACATCGGAAATGGTTGAAAGTATACATATCTTAAATTTACATTCGAGAAAGGAAAAGAGATATCAATCTTACGTATCAAACTACTCTATATATATATATATATATGGTATTTAAAAACATAATCTACAGGCAATTATTGTACACCATCCATTATTAATATATATTAACTATAAGTATCTAATTACGTGACAAGCTGTACATTAGATTTTGGAATCAGATTTCAGTTAAGCTGAGTGTAATTTGTGTAGGTTGACTAGTACCATTCTTTAAGGTTACCAAGGGGAGATAAATTTTCTTGTTGCAGGAAATTTCAAAATATTGGTACTCTTTCATGTCCTATTATAAGATACAAGTTTGGATTAATTTTAATTTCAAATGTGTTGCGTGAATTGAATGGTGCCAATTAACTTAAATCCTATGTTTGTAACCACTAAGATGGTAAGTTTAGTTGTTGACAGGAAAGATGCGTACCAACTAATTAAACAATTAACAACAAAAGATATGCATAGATTGCCCACATCTTTTAAGAAACATGCAATCAACAAAGTTGAGCTCAAACTACCTTTGTAGGTATAAAGTATCAAAATTTTCTGACGCACATTGGTTTCCTTTGATGCATTTCAGGGAAACCCTATCATCAACCAACAAACGAGAAAATAAAAAATTAAAAAAAGAAAAAGAAAAAGAAAAGAAGTGGAAAGGTGGTTTTGAGTTTTTGACACCAAAAGCATATATGTCGATGTGGATTCTTTAAATATGTCGCGTCCTCAATGAATCACCAAATGCCCAATAAAGCAAAGATATATAATAAACGATCGAAATACATCTTTATTGTTTTGAATGCGGTATGATGATTAAAAATAATAACTTATTACTCTCTTGTTTAATTTCTAAAAATATTACATTTACATTACATTATTTTTTACTATATATATCTACGTATGTAGCACAATTTTGTTGGCGGACCAAACGTCAGCTCAAACGTTTGTATGTGCCCAAAAATTAAATTTTTTTTTTCTTGAGATGTGTAAATGTGGATTTCAGTCTAAATTAGAAGGTATTTCTATTTCTCATGAGGAGAGTGAAGTCAAGTCGTGCGAGCTTACGGAAAATCCATGTCCTCGCCTTAAATAATAAAAATCGCGTCGGATTGGTCTTCATATGTATTTAAATTGATGGTTGTTACAACTGATATGATAACCTTATATTTTCTGTCCCGTACTGAAAATTGATGTCAAGACAAGGCAACTACGTTACTGTAAAGTATATATACGGGAGAATTTTGATTGTGTAAAACGACTGGAATTCATTTCCTTATCGATCTTTTTCCTTTTTCTTTCATGTGTAGGCCATAATAAGACTTATGTACATTTACGTGGTTCGATCAATATGAAGTTACCAATTACAATCATACTTTTAAGGGAAATATTACATTCTTCGTGCATAACATATTTAAAAAAGCGTAAAATTAAATTTTAGAATCGTAAAAATCGACTTGTTTAATTATTGTATCTAGACATGTGTGTGTGTGTGTTTTTACATCAATCGTACAACTTGCCTAAACAATAAGTTAAGCATGCAATGACTAAGCAAAACACTATGACTTTCTAATGTTAGGAAAATGATTGTACGTGGTCCTTCTCAAGTAGTCCACACGACACAACGTCTAGGCAATTTTTAGAGTGGGTGTGAAAGTCTCGAATATTTTTTTCGATGTTGATATAAACTTGCTATCTTAGATAATACATTTACTAACATCTTGACTTTTTTTTTGTATGTGATTTACCAACATTTCCATGTCTCCACTAGAGTTTTCATACTTCTCAAACCTAGTTCCCATTGTCGATCTTGTTTCATTACTTACTTCTTCTTCTTCTTCAATTCTACTTCGTCCATTATTCTGTCCCAACATTATCTTTATATTTTACTTTTCTCTTCCCAATTTGAGTCTTACACACTACGTATAGAGTAGTTGATTAATAACTTAGGGCTAGTGAAAAGATTTGTTTAATGTTCTTGCTACAATGATAATACAATAAATTAAGTACAATAAAACTTTTCAAATTTGGTGGCACCAAAAGTTAGTTTTATATATCTTTTTTTTTTTTAAAAAAAAAAAGAACTGATATAAATAAAGTTGATTGCATAAAAGGAATCATGTTTAAATCAATGCTGGAGCGCAGTCATCATGGGGCATCTTCAATTTGGTTGCGTATGAGAAATTACAAATCTAAGTGACGCTCATATTGTTTAATATATAATTAGCTTCTATTTGTACTTTTCCTTTTTCTTCCCCTTTCTTTTTACTATTCTTTGTGAATTTAGTTTGATTATTATCAAGTCAATTAACAACTATCTTAAAAGATTAACGTAACAAGTGGACACAATTATTGACCTCAAGTCTCCCCCATTTCGCATTGATTAAGGTGGCTTAGCCTACTCCTAGCTACAGCCAATTTGCCAACTAGACCGACGTAGACTGATGTGGAAGAGATTGATAACTTTTTGCTACATATTATATATATGAAATAGAACTTAATCTGTACTTAATTAGTACTAAACTAGTTGCTTACTATTCGATTAGATATGCTACTATTCAACATTATTGGTTTCCACAAAGTCGCCATTTTCATATGTTCCTTGCAAAATAAGCAACGTGGACATAAATTTTTAATATACTAGTAAAATTTAATTTACACTAGAAAGAAAAAGAAGCCGATGTTAATTATAAGGAAGATCTTTGTCTTTGGAAAGGGATACACCATTTCTTGTAGCATAGATGCATGACTTAGGGCCTTTCATGATTAAATTCTGACTACCATTGAAAGAGAGACTAAATATCTAATGTTTAATTTGCAAAAATTTTCAAGCGTTATTTCAAGTTTTCTAACATGCATACGCAGGCGATTAGTTGTTGCCAAACACAGGGCACCAGGTTTGACAATTCTCTTCAAATTTTAAACATATTGCAACATCGAATTGGCAAATGCCAAACCAACGTAATTATTGGTCTATGATGATGTAATTACTTAATTAATTATTGCAAGTGGCTCCTTTGGTTGGGATTACTAATCAACGTTAAGTCGTAACCAACAATTAATCTACATTTTTTATAACAAACTTATTATGAAACAGGAATAGTGGCCATTATTATTAATTAATTGGGGTAAAGTACAGAAATAAAATCTAGGACTAAATCTTTCCCTGATAAAGAAAGAATACATGATATCGGAATTCAAAATGCTTATCAGCTCTAACCTCCCTCAACTACAATGCCCGCCTTGCACTGATAATGTATTAATTGTCCCCATCATCATCAATATTTCAATTACAAAAACATATGTTACACATTGAACCGGAAAAGAGACTAGTAAAAGTGCAACAAAATCAATTTGCATGCATTTGATAAATATATATCCGTCAAGGCGAAATCAATTTTCTGTATTTCTAGCAATTAAAATACTTTTTGACAAAAAAAAAAAAATCTTAAATCTATCAATCATCTACAGTTACTTTTACATTTTGTTGAACTCGTTTGAAATTAAAAATCTTCTAAATTATCAGGTGTTGCACTACTTAACAATAGACTCATGTTTGAGTCATGATTTAAACCATATGTTGTTATCTTTTAATAAAACGAGCTAAATTACTGCGCTGTTTAAGAATAAATTCATGTTTCTGTCATTATTTAAACGATACGATGTTACCCTAAATCCATTTTATAAAAATAAGTGTTAAATTGTTGTTACAACAAACGTCAACATTACATGGTAGAAGAACTACAAGCTAGCCTAGGAGGCTGATGATAGCGTGGTATCGAACGTTTAACGTTAAATGAGTTTTTTTTTTTTTTTTTGCATAATGTTAACAAAAAATGAGGGTCGGGGTCTCAGCGGCCACGTGAAGGTTCCCCTGCTATAGTCCCTACCAAGATCCTCCGTATCCCTTCATGGGACCTACAATTTTTCTCCTGACCCTACTATTTTCTTCCATGAGGCCCCACCTCACACGTGTCACCCTCATCCCTCGCACGTGAATAAATGCATCCCACCCCGGTTCTTTCCCGGCCTCCTTCCATCTTGCCACGGTTGCCCACCCTAACAATAATAATGGAAAAAAATAAATAAATTAAAAACCGAAAAAGAAACTTCTTCTCTACATGGAAAAATGTCCTATAAAATTCAAAACCTGTACCTCATTACCTCGACACAACCAAACACTCCTTTCTTAAACCACAATCACTCTTCTTTCTACAGAATCATGCAAACTTTCTAAAGATCAGAATCTCTTTTTCTTTCCCTTATATTATACATCGATATCAATGCGATATTCTTCTTCTTTTCTCTTCTCTCATTCTTGAATTTCTGATGTCAAATATTTGTGCCAAAAGACAGAGACAATATCTGGTGCATGTTGCGTACTAAATCTCCAAAAGCGTGTTCATAAAAAAAAAAAAGAGTAAAAAGAAAAATCCTTCCTTACGGGATTATATCGTTTTAAAACAGTGTGCCAAATTGTGTTCTCTTTATAAATCCCCGTCTTCCTTAATTTCCTCCAATACAAATTGCATAGTAGAATTAATTTTTTTTTTCTTTTTTTGTATATTCATCAGAGAGGGAGAGAGAGAGAGACATGATGATGGTAATAATGAAGCTGGTGTTGTTAGTATTTGCAATCTGTCGCTTGATAGCGACAGTTGGGTTAACGTTGGACCCGACCGAGCTCCTACGTTTGGAGTTGAAAGGACAGCTCAGCCTTGATCCATCCGACGTTGAAACCGCTTCGGTTGACTTTGGACGGATGCACCGAGCGGAGCCGTGGGGGGTACTTCACCCCGCAACCGGAGCCGACGTTTCCCGGTTAGTCAAATCGGCTTACGAGTCAACTCACGGGTTCGCCGTGTCGGCTCGCGGGCACGGGCATTCCATCAACGGGCAGGCCATGACCGCTAACGGGGTGGTGGTTCAAATGAGTGATGGTAAGCCCGGGATGCAGAGGAATATTGTGGTTTCTCAGGAATCCATGTACGTGGATGTATGGGGCGGGGAGCTGTGGATAGATGTGCTGAGTTCCACCTTAGAGTATGGACTCGCACCCAAATCGTGGACCGATTACTTGTACCTTTCCGTAGGGGGTACGTTGTCAAATGCTGGGATCAGCGGCCAGGCTTTCAATCATGGCCCTCAAATTACCAATGTCTTTGAGCTTGATGTTGTTACAGGTCCGTCCCTCTTTTTGTTTTCCTACTACTTTTTCCGTTCCAAAATTATTGACCAGTTGATTTTTGAGACAGAGAGAGTATCATTCTTCATGGATTAATATTCGACGTGTTTTTCCACCTTTATTACGACAGAATGTCTTCATCCTCCCTTAAAAAAAAATTAATTCTAGAGAAAATGAAGTTTTGAATTTTGATTGGGATTTTTTTTTTTTCCTTTTTGAGTTGGGCCAACGTAAAAAGAGAAAAAGAAAAATGATTGTGCGGGATGATGCTAAGTGGCTTGAAACATGGTCATTAAGGTGGTTTTTTTGTTCTCCAAAGTGAAGTCTTTTTGAAAAAACTTTTGTTTTGTAAAGGGAGCTTTTATGAAGTTGGGAGTGTTGTTTGTCTTAGGTGCATGTTTTTTTGTATCGTAATGTCATCAATGATCAAACCAAAAAAAACCCCAGTGTACTACTTGACGTTGTCCACAGCAAATCTTCACATGGGTTGTTTTTTGTTTTATGCATACCTTTTTAAGCCCCCTATCATTTTTCTAAAACAAAATCAATGTTCTTTACGTACTTTGGCGGTAATTATTGCTGCCTTTTTCTTTTTCCTTAATTAAGATTTATTACTGTTGAATGAAACAGGGAAGGGTGAAGAATTGACGTGTTCAGAAGAGAGTAACTCAGAACTGTTCCATGCCGCACTAGGTGGTCTTGGACAATTTGGCATCATCACTAGGGCAAGAATTGCCCTTGAACCAGCTCCCCAAATGGTAAATACACCTTAGATCACGAAACCATTCATTTCAATATTACATTTTCCGTTCCAAATAAATAGCCTCGTCTGATGATGAGTTAAAACAATATTACAACAACTAAAGAAAATAGAAGACGGGTAGTTGGGTCCATTTGTTGTTAATTCTACATATTTAACCTTATTCATTGGAACGGCTGTTGAAAAGCTGGCAATGCTGTTGACGCTTGCTTTTTAGTTGTTTTTTTTTTTTTTTTTTGAGTCTTGTTAATTAGCTTTCAAACTCATTGTCATTTTTCTTTTGGCTCTCTAAGTTCCTTTTCATAAAATGTTATTGGCATGCAACAACAGGTGAGGTGGATTCGGGTACTATATTCGAATTTCTCTGCGTTTACACATGACCAAGAGTATCTCATCTCCTTGCATGGACATCAAGACAGCCAGAAATTTGACTATGTAGAAGGTTTTGTTATCGTGGACGAAGGTCTCATCAATAATTGGAGGTCTTCATTCTTCTCTCCCAAAAACCCGGTCAAGATTTCATCTCTTAATGTTAATGGTGACGGAGGATCAGTCTTATACTGCTTGGAAGTCACAAAAAATTACCGAGAATCGGATGCCGATACCATCGATCAGGTAATATGAATCCTATTGATATTATTTGTATGGTGTGTTATTTAATTACTTTGTCTAAAGATTACTAACTTGCTTTATTTACTTTGATGATTTGTTTATTACATTATACGTCCGTAATTGCTTGTTTGTTTTCTGTGATGATTCAAAGGCTAACTAATCACTCCCACTTGAATGATGTTTTTATGTGCTTTGCATGTGATAGAGGAAAGCAAAAGCTCTTGCAACAAAAGATGCACCTATATAAAGTGTGTTGTCACTCAAGATTTTAGGGCTAGAAATAGCAAAAATATGGGGAAAAAGTAGTAGTACATGAAAAAAAAAAAAAAAAAAAGTAGTAGTACATGAAAGAGAGAGATCATATACTCACACATCATACTATGCAAATCTTCATTGGTTAAAACTTCAGTTGGAATTTGTCTCTGGGTTTATCGTTTCCTTTAATATTTCTTTTGACCTTTAGATTACCCAAGAGAAACTAAGTGAAAAACTAAGGTTTAACCTACCAAAAAAAAAAAGAAAAAAGAAAAAAAAGGCTCAAAATATTTAGGACCAAGCTACTTGGAAGTGGAACCTCCTCCTACTAACATCGTTGTCTTGATTTCTCTTTCGTACTCGTCCTCACTGTCTTGATTTTTTATTTTTGAGTTTAAGTGTCGTCTATATATTCAATTAGCACGACATGCATGTCGGACGATGAATGTTTTGTAGCTATTATCAAATTTAAATTTACTTCCTTCCATGTTGTTTAATAGACGTGACTTCTTTTTTTCTTTTTGAAGCGAAATCATGAGTTTATTAATTAACTTGTTTTTCTCAGCGACACATAATAAATCAAAGAAGATCTTCTGTAATCTGGTTACCAACATTCTCTCTGATTTCAATGATTAAAAAAATTAGCTATGAGCCACCCTTCCACCTAATAATTCGATCCCCATAACTTTCTTTTTATGATCTTTTGAACGCTCATTATCGACGCACCATTGAAGTTGCATGAAAATAAAGTTATCCCTGATTCCTGACACAAAGGCACTAGCTACATATATCTAGCTTCTTTATTGGTTACTTTGGAGTAATTTTTTATTATTTCAATTTCTTAATTAAAAAATTAGACAATTATGGCGGTAATCAACGATAAAAAGTGCTTCTGGGATGTACTTAGGAACTGGATTGTTTAATCCTTAATTGTCATTTTCACAGGAAGTGGAGGCCCTATTGAAGAAATTGCATTTTATACCAAATACGGTTTTCACGACGGACCTGCCTTACGTCGATTTCCTGGACCGGGTTCACAAAGCTGAGTTGAAGCTCCGGTCCAAGGGTTTGTGGGAGGTACCACACCCTTGGTTGAATTTGTTTGTGCCCAAATCCCAAATTGCAGAATTCGACAGAGGTGTATTCAAGGGCATTTTGGGCAACAAAGCTAGTGGTCCGATCTTGATCTACCCTATGAACAAAAACAAGTAAGTCCCTCCTACATTCTTAAGGACACCTAATTCATGAAATCTTGTGTTGTGTCATTAACATGATGAGTAGCGATAGAGATAATAAATTTATTCGCTAAAATAATTCGGTGGTTGATATAAATTCACTAGTCATTAAATCAATTAATTGGATGATTTTACCACTTCTATTATTGTGTTGTTATTCATCCATGCAACCCAATACAAATAAAATAAGACGGTTGTTCTCACATAGAATCTTGACGTTTAGGTCATATGAATTATTGCTTCCGTAGGAAATATATATGATCATACACAGTGTCGATTTTGTCAATTATAATAATTATACCACCAATTCATCAAGTTTCTTGTTTGGATATGATTATTCCGGTTCCATAATGATGATAAAAAAAAATTATTTAAGTGAAATGTAACTGTCGGGGTCGGTCGTGAAGTAATTAATATAGAAAATTGGGAAGTGATCTGAACTACTAGATTCTGTAATCTGATTATGTAATGGTTTGATTACTTCTTTATCGTCACTCCCTTATCCTTATCCTCGTGATGACGTCCAATTATATATACTATACATTTTCCGAACAAAAAAAGTAAACCTAAATCTCCGAAGACTATGATATAAGCCTAGCTTATTCATTCAATTGGATCCTCAGGTTTGTTAAGGATCCGGGAGAAAGTGATTTAGACAAACTCTTCCTAGTACGTAACAAGTTTAGATTTGGTCATCATCATCACAAAACCCTACGTATTAAGTAGTAACAAAGTTACAATTCACCAGTTTAACAATAGAAAAACATAACAAAAGACAAAATGAACATTGTTAAAGTATTAGTCACGGAATCATTTTACTGTCGTATAAACCACAGTAGTGTGTATCATTATAGAGAAGTCGTCTTCATTGATCAGTGATTTTTGCCTGGTTTCGACACGTTGATACGACCATGCAAATAAAACCAACAATAAAGGGGGGGGGATCAAACTGACCAAAAATCCAGTGCCGATGTTTAGGGCCAGCTAGGGAAGTGTTTGCATATGTAACAATGATGAAACAACGTCAAAGATGTCGTTATTTTTTAATTAGTATTCCTTTTTTTTAGCTGACTGGGAACCCAACAAAAGAATAGAGAGAGACAATGGCCAAACTAAGAAGATCTTCATGTCAGCCCGATCTTCGTCCGTAGGAGGGGACCCCTTCATTCTCTGTCGACATTACCATTTACAAACAAAAACTTGCCGTTTCTATAGTTCAGAATTTATTTTGGGCTTTAATTTATCAAATTACGGTATTTTCTGTTTAAAAATAAGAGTCCTGTTATCGTATTATTAATAATTAGAACTTATTTTAATATTTTTTTACGTATGTGTTTTTAGGTGGGACAATAGAACTTCAGTGGTGACGCCGGACGAAGACGTATTTTACTTGGTGGCGTTACTTAGGTCGGCGTTGGACAACGGCGAAGAAACGCAAACGCTGGAGTACATGAGCGATCAGAACCGTCGGATATTGAAGTTTTGTAAAGATGCTGGAATCAAAATGAAGCAATACCTCCCTCATTACACTACACAACAAGAATGGATTGAACATTACGGTGAAAAATGGACTCAATTTTATCGAAGAAAAATGGAATTTGATCCCAGACATATATTATCAACCGGTCAACGTATATTCAAACCTTCTTTTAATCCCAGCTCGGCTTCATGGTGATCACTGGCAAAATAATAGTGGTAGAAGTTAAAAAGGAAATTTTTTTTGTGTCTGAAAATCCAAAATTGCCACTCTTAATGGAAGTTGGCAAAATCATTATTATTTGATCACTGTCGGTAGCAATTAGTTGGGGAAAATATAGCTGGATTAAATTTGTACAAATGGGGTAGATATATAGTATAACTATAGGAAATTTATTAGTTTTTTCGTTAACTATAAAGTTTTTGTTCTTGGGTTAAATTTATATTAGCAGCAAGATTAATTAGCAAATTGAATCCAAGGATTCAACAAACTTATCAACAGTGGCGGAGTCAGAAAATATAGATAGGGAGAGCGAATTTTGAAAAAACCTACTAATGAACTACGAAATTAATGTAGGTGGTGCGAAAATTATAAAATATGTAATTTTCTATTAAAAATTTAATACATCATTACTAATTACAAAAAATCAAGCAGGTGAGACCGCACCCCTCCGTCCCCCTGGCTCCGCTTATCAGCTAATTTTGCCATTGTTTTTGAGCTTTAGTTGAGGTTCAAATTCAAGCCTATCTTTCGAAAAGAAATAAAAAATACATTGGCCCAATATCCGGTAAGCTAAATTATGGACCCCATTGCCGGTGTAACAGTGCGCTTGACCCATTAATTAACTATATAAACTCTCTTGCTTTACTCCTATAAAAATCTCCAATCCCGGCTGCAATCAAAGTGCACAAATCGGTTATTTGAACAAATTTTCCGCCAAGAAACATTGATAAATGGATTCAGTATGTGTCTACAAGGAGTGTGAAGAGTCTGGACTTGAACTTTTTAGCATATGATGGTCTGCCTTCTGGTCTGACAATTGGCTTATACTTTTCCCCATGACCTACTTGGGCTGACTTATGCTTCTGCCGTTTGTCCTACTGTTCCCGTGGAAAAGGCATCCATTTTGATGCACGGTTTGGCTTTAACTCCCCTAAAAATTTGGTGCTGAAGAATGTAAACGTGTCTGGAAAAGTTCTTCAATTTTTCTTGCATAATTGCCCTTTTCTTGAGTATCTGGCTGTGGGTTACTTTAAAATTCTAGAACAATTTGAAGTCTGTGATCCATCCATTATATTGAAACACATGAAGATAACTCATTGTACCAAATTGGATCCCTTATTTTATGTAATGCAAATCTTGTTTCACTTAGATTTATTGGAGATAGTGGTTAGAATGCTCCTAAGCTTGTGGATGTTATCGTTGACGGGTCGTCTTTCAACCTCAGTGTCTGTTGAACCATTGCCTGTCTAAGTTGCTCCCTATTGAAATTGGAGGTTCTTACTTTGAAATTCCATGCCGAGGACATACATTATGTTAGTCACGACGTGTTCATCGGACATTTCTTATGTTTTATACATTCTCAAGTACACTTTAAAAATTGTTAAAATCATCTTTGAACTTGAAAACAAGTGAAAGTCACTTGTCCCACGTTTGAAATGTTAACCCAACTTGACTAATGTATAGGTCTCATGTGTTATTCCACTCATTGCCAATTGGTTTTGGGGTGGAACTATATATGGGCTTACATGGGCCATTCAAGATAGTATCAAAGTTGGTTTTATTTACGAACTTTGTGGGTGTTCTTTAACCGATCAGGGGGTTTCTCCAATTTGACTAGCCCGTATTGGGTCTTTGACTTATGCCCGTATTAGGCTTTGACTGAATCTGCAGTATATCTGAGAACTTTGATTTACCCATATTTGGACTTTTGACTGATCCGAAAGTATATCCAAAAACTTTTGATATACCTATATTGAATTTTGATATATTACTCGTATTCGGTTTTGATTGTTCAAGGAGGTATTGTCCAACTCTTTTGGTCTTGAGATAGTGGTGTTAAAATCCTATTTGAACTTGAAAACAAGTGAAAGACACTTGTCCATGTTGGAATTGGTAGCCCAACTGACTAACATAGATGTCCCATGTACCACTTCTCTCATTGCCAATTGATTTTGAGATATAGCCACATGTGGGGTTATATGAGCTTTCAAAAATAATTTTTTATTGTAATGCCATTTTTTTGGTTTGATTATTCGAGCAAGAAGATACAAATGCAACACTTCCTCATTTAACTACATTGAAGCAACTAATTGCCATTGTATGGGATCCAAAAAATGAGAATACAGTTGTACTAACTTCTATTGCAAGGACATCTCCCAACTTGGAGAAGTTTGTCCAACGGTACGTTGTTTTAAATATATGTATATTGGTCATGTTTCACATCTAGCTTTTTGGGTCCATTGGATTAAATAAGTTGTTGTAAATCATGGGTAATATTGTTTGCACTATGCGCTCATACTCAATTTTCACCATCCATGCAGGAAATTAGAGGCTTACCATATTTGCATATAATACTCTTTGTTTAGTAGAAGCATGTTTTTTTGTCGTGCTAAGATGTATCTTTTTGGTATTCAGTCTAACCGGGAAATGGAAGTTCCCAAAGAACGTAGAGCTTCTAAAAAAGGTAAGGCCTTGGCCCTCGAGCATCTTAAAGTTGTGGCTATGTTTGGTTGGTTTTTTTGTTAGTTTTTTCAGAATTTTTAATTAATATCTGTCCTATCTCAGCAAACTTTTTTTCATTCTCAATGCACCTTTTTACATTTTTAATATATCTTTTTACATTCCCAATACAAAAAAACACACTCAAAAAACGATCCAAACATAGCCTGACTTTTGGGGATATTTTGGACATGTGTCAAAGGTGGAATTGTTGAGAATTTCCTAGAGAATGTTGTTGCCCTAGAGAGAATTATGATTGACCCTCGTGATCTTCCTCCTACTCGTTCTTGTGGTTGTGATTGGCCTTTTGCTTATCAACCTGTTAATAATCCGAAGGAGGACGCAATTTATAGAGATGTTGCCAAACAACATATCTAGGGACTACTACATTTAAATGTTACATTGGTCCTTCTTTAGTTAGGAGAAGAAGCAACAAACATCACTTTCTTAGGTTGTGTGTTTATGACCAATGATTTTGTGGGAAGTTGTTGTAGTTTAGCTTATTTATTAATGTTAAATCTGTCTTTTTTTTTTGTTCTTTTCACCCTAATTTGTTTTCTGTTGTAAATGGCCACATACTCTGCTAATAAGACTCTTAGGTGTTGAGTTGAGATCAATTTTCAACATCCTAACATGTGGGAGGTGTCAGATGTACATTACACCCTTGAGAGTTTCAAGAAGTGGTCTAATCTTGTTCTTATAATGATCGTGACCGAGGAGAATTAAAGTTTGAGTTGGTTGTGAATTCTATCTTTTTTTATATTAGTGGCAACATTGCTCACTGTTATATTGAATCACTAGAAGAACGCTTTTTTTAAAAAAAAAAATTCTTTTGGAGTAAAAGTTGTTTTGTTCCATTGTGAAAATGAGAAAAGTTAGAGTATATCTTATAAGTATCCATGTTCCTACAAAACTAACAAAAGTCACTATTTAATGTCATACTATACACGGTATCTTACTCTAGTTTTATTCTAAAGTAGTACATATGACAAGGTTTAGATACTACATGGAGCACGGCTTCTTTAACATCAATTTTAAGTTCGGTTCATGCAGTTTCATTTCTCCTTTAATCCATTAATAAAGCTAGCAATGAAATGTTCCTAGGATAATTGGATATTGTTGCAAAACCCTAAATCAGAGTTCCTCAAACTTCTCTTGATACTCTCTCACCATACAACTTTGGTCTAGTTTATTGAATTTTTTGACTGTGTTGATCTCTCCCACCTCTACAAAACGCTTGAAACCAAGCTTTTGTTCGATCATCCAAGTACAATTTAAAATGCTCAACTTTTTGTCCTCATGTGATATGATGAAGCACATAAAATTTCTCACACTGAACCATTCTTGCGGATTATCACCAGTGAACATGGGAAGCTCAAACTTTGATTGCGTGTACCAAAGCAGATGTTGTATCCTATCCTTAACCATAGCGTGATGATCAAATGTGCTTCTAGGCAAAATCACCATTGTGGTGCGATCCATATGGATTCTCCCAAAATGAGTTGAAACTTTATACTTTGTCAGGGTGGGAAGTATAGCATTCTTGAAGTTAACTGTTGGTTATTGCCATAAGTTCTTTCAATTGTGCACTTATTGCATTTTTTATCCCTTAACTGGTAAATTGAGCTTCCATTTCATTTACAAATGTCGATAGTGAGATTCGTAATTCTCTGGTCTTGGCGGTGTAACGTGACTATGGAAGTAATGGAAAGGTTTTTTTATAGTGATGGTAATCAATTCAATATAATGATGGGGAAAAATGAGAGGAGCAAAATTAAACTTTTCTTTTTAAAGTGAAGTTACTGAAAGAACATGAAAAGATAGTTAATATACCACCAAATCTATATACTATATTAAAACAATAGTCCAAGACGGAAAAAAAAAAAGGTTGATGTGTCATGTTGTGATTAAAAATTTTCCATCCAAAAATGCATCAAGTCAAAACTATGTAGGTTTGCTAAAGAAAAAGTTTAACCTACAAATATAAAAACAAACACCTATTATTAATGCGTATAAAAATAAATTTTACTAAAACACTGGCCAAAGAAAAAAAATTTTGATTATGTATTGAGCTCTAATTCGACATTTTCTTGGCAAAAAAAGAACACCGACTAGAGTAAAAAAAGAAGGAAAAAAAAAGTTAACACTCCACGGATAAAATAACGAGAAAAATCAAAAGTTCTCGCTGAAAAAAAAAATATAGGAGAGATAATAAAAGATGACATGCTACGCCTATGGTTAAAAGGTTTTTCGACTAAAATATCAAGTGCAAATTACATCGTTTTGATCAAAAAAAAATTTTAATTAACGACACACAAAAAATCCTATTAAAAACATAAATAGAAATCCTATTAAAAAGATTATGAGAGATAAATTTTGATGATGTATTGCAATCTCATGCAACATTTTCTCATTAAAAAAAATGGTGCATTTTAAGGTAGAAATAAAGTTAAACTCAAATTACTGGAAAAATTCAAAATAAAAGTTGAGGTATCGCGTTAATAAATGCACCTGGGCTAAGAATCTAGTTAAAGTATAAGAAGGAAAAAATTCATTTTTTATAATTATATACCTATGGAATTTTATACGCTTCGCACTTAGTTGAATTAACAAAATATTTACAAACTGATTGAAGTATTAAAATTTAAGAGAGACGTGATGATATACAATAAAAAATTTATATATATATATATATTTTTCTTTTTGAAGTCTTAATGAACTTTGAACATGAAACCTCGTCATGAAAC